AGGGGCCTTAATTTTATGATTTAGGGCATATTCCTTAATTAAGGAGTATTGGGTTCTCTGGGTACTCGAGATGGGGTTGTTGTACTTTGGCATTCGCCTGCAAAGCTTCGGTTTTGTTCTACCTGTACATTACAAAAGGGTTTAAGGGCTTAGGGGTTTAGGGTTTAGGGTTTGGGGGTTTTGGGTTCATATTCGTCACGGCTGTCAACCGACATGATAGCTGTTCTTGTTGCCCTGCTCGACATGCCCGCGCCTCCTTGTCGCGCTGCTTCTCTCGATGCCTGTGTCTCCTGGATCGCGAGTCGCCCGACCTGCACCGAGGTTTCGGGACGGTGCTTCTTGGACTTAGCCCTTTCAAAACCTGTATGTAGCCTGCTGATGGTATTCGAGTACCACTTTGTCTTCGTAGTTCACCATTAAATTGTTAAAAAGGAACCTTCAGGAGTCAAGTGGACCAGAGCTCCAAAGTTCGGGGAGACAAAGCCGCTGAAGAGAACCGGAAGGGCGTTTCTCGCTTCAGAGCCGTAAGCCATGGGCATGAGTAAGTTACGAGCAAAGACTTGGAAGGGTGTATCATGGTAGAAGTGGCCACAACTCGCCTTCGTAGGCATGGACAGCTTGAACGCCAAAAACCTCCCAGCCAAAACCTTGAACCCATAAACATATCGTAGACTGTAGGGTTTCTATATTAGGAATTACTATTATGGGGTTTCTATATTCGGAATTACTAAAACCCAGGCCAGCCAAACCCAAACCGAGGGATCAAAGACCTGGACACCTGTGCCCTAGAACCAACCCACATACGACTCCGATGCTGCACATCCTAAATGCCCACAATGCGGACCCGTATTTAGTACATGTCATTCTCCCGTAAATAGTAGGGCCAGAATATGGAGCCTAACATTAAGGCCGTTAGGGAAAGGAAGAACAAACAATGGCCTCTTCCGGCTAATGCTGCTACCGCCATGCACTACCACGAAGATGACGAAGACGACGACGCCGACGACGACTACTACTATGACTATGATGTTTACTGTTGCGAATACAATTGCAAATACTACTCATCATTCCGACTATTGCTGTTGTTTCAATTATTGTTAGCAACAACAATAATATTGAACATTACTTATACTAGTGCTGCTGCTACTGCTCTTACAGCTCCTACTGCTCCTACTGCTACTACTGCTACTACTGCTACTACTACTGCTACTACGGCACCGAAGAACCTAACCCTGAACCGTGCAAGGTTCCGAAGTAAGCCTCAATAACCCTTGATAATCAATGATACCATCATCTTATTGCTGCTAACCCTCCGTAATGGTGTAATGGTACCATTGTATTCTTGCTTATATCCCTTAATAACGGCGCAATGGTACCACTTTATTCTTGCTTATAACCCATAATCATGGTGTAATGGTACATGATTTCTTTTGCTTCTGACCCTGAAGAAGGGTGTAGTAGTACCATGCTTCTTCTTGCCAGGTTTCCACGCGGAGATCCCCAAAAAAATGAAGAAAATTTCTCGGAGAGCCTCTCGCTGGGAGAGGACCTGGAGTCGGACTTGCCGGACCTGAGCAGAGAGTAGGGTTTAGGGTTATAGTTATAGGGGTTGCTATAAAAGGGGCCAGGAAAAGGGTTACGAAAATGGGTACTACAAGGATGAATTTAGGGGTTTTGGAGTTGAAGATTCCGGGTTTCGGGCTGATGACGGATCAAGCTTGAGCTCTACCATCTCTAGACGAGGTGGGTTTAGGGTTTAGAGCTCTACGATCTCTAGACGATGTTTCCAAGGCTGCAAGGTCAACTTAACATCTAGCGGCCGTAGTAGTCTGAATAGGGATGCGCGGGTTTAGCAAACTACAATGAGTACACAACTACAGTTGTATTGGGGGAGCACGTTTATGTTAGGGACTACGAGGGCAAGGTTGTTACTACACGATCACGGCCCCGATAGTATCCACACCCATCCTTTTTGCCTCCCCAGTGCTCAACTGGCACATTGTGACTCATGTGACCTGCCATCTTGAACCCTAATGACCCTAAAGGAGAGTCTACGGTTTAGGGTTTTAGGGAACTCTGGAACCTAGAGCCCTTGACATGTACCCTAAAACGAAAGCCTGAGCCTGAAATCTCAGGGCAAGAGGGCGCAAGCAGTTGGTTCAGAGCTTCGCATTCCCGCGGACCTAACGTAGGCTTACATAGCTTTCATGCTGGGAAGTACTGTCGACACCCTGGGTCTGGCTGGATCCAGGCATTGGACTTCGGGCTGCAAGGTTTAGATACATTTTAACATAGTATACAATATTATGCAATATTAAGATACGCCGTAGTGTACTCTGTTGTGCTATCTTGTCTTATGTTGTATGCTTCTCTGTTCTGTAGTATCGTATTGTACTATAGCATATTCTATTACGCTAACTTATTACAATGTATAATTTTGCATAATGTCATACCTTATGAGATGATCGTATCTTATATATTAAACCTAAACCCTATAAACCCTATAAACCCTATAAACCCCATAAACCCCATAAACCCTATAAGCCCTATAAACCTTATAAACCCTATAAACCCTAAACCCAAAACCCTAAACATTATGCTTTAGATAAGACTCCCAACCTGAAGGATGCTCCTCCCGCCTCTTGGACTTCTTCCCCCGGGACGAACCGGACCTGGCAAATCCAGTAGCATCAACGCCTACTCTAGGAACCCTAAACCCTAAACCCTAAGATTTGGGGGGTTAGGGGTTTAAGGTTTAGAGTTTATTGATTTGTGAGCAACTCTTTCCATCTGCTTGTCTTAGCATCCGGAATCCGCGATTGCGGTTTAGAGTTTAGGGTATAGGGTTTGGGGTATAGCAGCCTTGATCAGTCAAAAACAGCGTTTATAGGAATATTATGCTACAGTTATATCGAGGATTCCGGGTTGCAACGCAACCATAAGCCCTGATCCCGGACGCCCACGACCAATCCACCCGAGACCTACTCCCGAACCCTCTGGACTCTCATGCCGACCGCTGACTGATAAGGCGACAAGACTCAGCAAAAGTATCCCCTTTACAGTCCCTGTATAACTATCGGTATCTATCGCACAACATATCCCTAAGCGCTATTTTAATCATGAAAACTAAACACGACTGCTGCTAGAGCTTCTGGGGGAGGCCGGTGACGGTGATAGAACAGGGCCAGACCGGGAACTTCGTCTTCGTTGGAATCGGATTCGGCAAGGCCGAAGGATCCCACGGGAAAGCTCAGAGCTTTCACTTCTGCTTCTACGGAGGGCCCGAGCAGAGCAGCATGAAACAAAGGGGCCGTAATGATCGGAGCAGATTTCGGAGACGGTGAGAACAGAATTCTACGGACCGACGGAGCCTATAAAGGCTTCTTATAATTCGCCGGACCGACAGCCGAAACCCTAAACCCTGAACCCGAATCCCCAAACCATCAACCTTCGACCCATTCAAACCCGAAACCCTCAACGTGACAGGCTCGCGAGGATCGTGATTTGGAGCTCGCGCGGCCTCGCGTCTTTGCCTTGCCTTGGCGGTTGGCGGGCATACTAAACAAGCCTGAATGCCTCGTAGTTTCGCTCAGGGCTTCGCAGTATTCTAATTCTTGTTCTTCTTAGCACTACCTCTAGTCTCCGTTGTAGTTCCTTTTCTTATATTAAGGATCCTAACAGGTAACCCCAAAAAGGAACTACAATGGAGACTATAGGTACTGCTAAGCCTCTGAAGGCTCGGCACCCTTAAAAATCACGTCGTCCGTTTTGAGACTCCGCGACCTGGGAGAAGAGGCGTCCATGGCTTGTAGCTATGAAAACTTAGACTAGGATGCTCCAACGAAGTAAAAAGGAGCAAGAGAAAGTAGCACTAAGCATTATTACGGTCCCTTTTTTGGAAGCGTGCCGGGTTGGGTCTCGGGTTCTTGGACTTGGTTTGGCGTGGGATTTAGATTGCTTGGAAATTCAGGGCTCTTGCTCTTTCTTTGCTGAGCCGAAAGTCCATAGAGCCCTACACCCACCTGGCACGTACAGGAGGCTGTGCGAATGCTTCCAAGGCACTGCGCTTCTTGTCATGGTGTTTCTTTCGAGGGCTCTTTCGCCGGCCCCTGCCAGAACAGAACTTGGAAAAAGTGAGAAGGCAAAGACGAGACACAGCAGCAGCAGACAACGCCAGTAGAACAAGTGACCCACTGCTACGATCAGCATAAGATTCATTCATTCAACGGCGGGCGGTTTCTCAAACCTGGACTATAACTGACCTGCACCTCATCAGACATTTGGGGTCTTGGAAATGTACCCCCAAACCCCGCTCTAATTATCAAGGCCCATGTACGAGGTGGTTTAGGGGTTTGGGTGTAGGGTCTCAGATTTTGTAGCGAAGAGTTTGGATGCGGCAGACAGGATCCATGGCCGTATGAGTGTTCAGGGGTAGAGATCTAGTCTAGTATGAGCCCGTAATAGTTGGAATTGGGTTGCAGGGTATATGTTATTCTATAGTTATGTAGAGACTATGGGGGATGCTGCTACTACTTATTCCGACGCCAAAACTCGCACAAACTCATCAGTCATCTGCACCCCTAAACCCTAAGCTGAAAAAATGGGGGGAGAGGCGTGGGTGCTGTGGCCTTCTACTGCTGTTGCTGATCATCTGCAATCCGACAGCGACGGTAAATCTCTCAAAGACCCAAACCCCAAAACCTCAAACCCTCTAAATAGTATCTTATTGTAGTCCTCATTTTAACCCATAAAAAAACCCTCTAAATAGTATCTTATTGTAG